ACCCAAAAGAAAAAACCTCACAAAAAAAAGAAAAAAAAAAAAAAAAAGAAAAGAAATCAGCTGATGAAGGCATGTCTGCCATACACAAGCCACCAGTGGGCGCACTGTAGGCCACGCTAACTCTTGGCTTGCAGGACTGAGGGTCCCCGGGGTGGCCTACTGACCTGCACATATGCAGAACAAAGGAGCCTGGGCTTCCGTTTCTGACTGGAGCCCAGAAGCTAAAAATGAGAACTTGGCAACCCAAGGCCATTTGTGTGCAACAGGCTCTCCTTCCTACATAAGCCTGAGTCATCTTTTTGGTGCCAACAGAAAATCTGTAAATGGATTCACTCTCTGGAGAACATGAACTGAGGTAAAAACCAATGTTATGTTCAAATTTTAAGTGATTTTAAGCTTCTACTCTGTAGACATTTCTATCTTCTAGTCCACATGTTTACTGCAAAAATAAGCATGTGAGGCTTTTAACAAGTTGGGGTTTTTGTTTTGTTTTGTTTTGCAATGTGATTCTCACCATAGTCCTTTTTCACTTTCAATCTTCTTCAAGGTCAAACACAAAGGCGGGAAGGAGTGTGCACACCTCCTACAAAACCCGAGTTGTTATTCTTCGAGGGTTATGATTTCGGTGTCACTGTCACCACAGTGCTGCTCGTGCAGTCCCCCCAGATCAAACCCATCTAAATGGCTCCCACCTTCACCCGTAATATACTGACCCCACCTGTCCCAACTGCCCCTCCCAGCCAATCCCCACTCGCAGGCAGGCCTGTCTGCAGCCCACCCACACAAACGTCCTGCAGAACTCGCCGGTCCACTCTTTCTTCGTACTTTCACTCATCCTCTCCCTCTATTTCGGGCCAAACCAGAAGCTGGTGGCACCACCCTGGGCTGGGATCAGACAGAGCCCACAGGACTCCAGCCTCTGCGATACTGTCACTGAGGCTCGAATCTGCTCATAGGCGTCCTGAATGAAGTGGCCGGGCGAGGGGGAGTATGGGGGCACAGACTTCCTCTGGAGGTGATCACAAGAAGGGGCCGGGCAGGCCTGGAAGGCCGCCCCAGCCTGGTATGGAGCTATCACATTCTTTAGAATTAAAAATTTAAGTTAAAAAAAAAATAGATGGGCCAGCAGATGGTCGGAACAGTTCAAGTCCTGGACCTGATGGCTCGCTTTCTCACTTTCCCTCTCTCTGTGTCTCTCTCTGGTGAGTGCATGTGCCCTACAACAAATTAAAAATAATAATAATAATAAGTAAAAATTAATAATTATTTAAAAATGTATATAAGCACATTGCAGAAAATAGAAAAAAAAATACTTAAACCTAAGAAAAGCAGCGGACATCACCCGCATGTGTAAGAGTTTCTCGCCTGCTTTAACTGTATTTTCGAGTATATTAACAACATCACTGGTAGTAACTGACCACATGTGGCAGCTCCAAAAAGTCCACATCAAACAGGTATCGGGGAAAACCTATGCATGGATTTCGACTTTTTGAAATTCCATTTCTCCATAACTCTTTGATGTCAAGCACTAAGTTTTACATATACAGAGTAAGATAATACCATGCATGGGAGGTGGATGTTATCCTTAGTTTCTGGATTAAGAAATTGAGGCCAAAGGTGTATGGGAAACAGCAGGCATAATCGCTCACCCTCAGCCGACTTCCCTGCCCCTCCCTACAGTTCCTGTTGTCTTCCTAAATCTCCCACTAACAATGCTGGGGGTGAGGACAGTGTTTTCTGTTCATTTCTAGAACACATTATGGTATCTCTAGTTTCTAAAATATGGAGTATTGTGGGATAAATGTGCCGTTTGCCATTAGTTGAAGTTTCAAAAAATTCAGAAAAATGGATAGCATTATTTTCTTTTTTTTCAGAGAAAATTCTTTTTTTTTTCTCTTTTTAATAAATTTTTGTCATAAAATGCAAGCCCTTGCTGGAGACAGACAGAGAGCGGTCAAGTGAGAAACCACTCCTCATTAGGGATGGCCATACTGCAATCCCTTCTCCTCCATTCTCCCCTCAGAATTTTGGGCATGCATGTACACTCGCCTGGTGTGATTTTCAAGCTGCCGGGTCTGGGACTCAAACTGCGGTCAGCCATGTGGAAATCCAATGCCTTAACCACCATGCCACCTGCTGGCCCTGGAAGAAAGTCTCCTAACCTACTCCCATAGGCTAACATTTCAGCTGTCCCTAAGTCTGGGTTTGATCATTTAAACCAGAAATTCTCTTATCTTAAATTCTAGGACAGAAATAAAGCTTTTTGATGGAGTTTATTACAAACATTGATATTCCTAGATCTTATCTTTGGGGTGACCTTAACTGTACCACTTAGTTGATCAAATTTTAATTAAATGGCCTCTTACTGACTTAATTTAAACAAAGATCCTGTCTTCACATTGCTTTAATGCTCGGTCACAAAAGTTACAAAACTCCAAAGTAGTTCATTCTCATGAAGTTGCCTTAAAGTTGAAACAAAAACACATCCTTGAAGAGTAAAGTTTCTAAAAGCTTCCCTGTCTACAGAAGTAAGCACATATTCAACATGGAGCTTATTTTAGTCACATTAACTGTAAAACTGCAACAGAGGTGCTGCTCAACGTTCAGCATTCTGCAATGCAACCCTAAAGGCACCCCTCCTGGTCCCCAGGGCCCTGCAGGAGTCAACTGCAGCCCACAGGCCTCAACTCCTTCAACTCCAAAGACAGCCAGGGGCCCTGGAAGAATGAATGCACTCATCCCTCAGGCCTGCCTGGAAGGAGAAGGCTGTATCCCTCCTCCTCGTGAACACAGCCGACAAGTGGATAGCGGCCTACATAGCACCTCGAGCCCCTGCAGGCTCCTGAGAGTCAGCCACAGGCGTGTCTTGTTGAACCAGTCAAGACCCTGTTCAAGTTTCTCTGGTTGGTGTACCTGCTTGCTTCCATTTTTATTTGTTTTAAACTAAAAGTAAGGCCCTGTGATGCTCTACTCTTGGGGGACCCCTTTCACCTAAAGGCCAGCTTTACACTCACTGGTCCTCTGGAGGCCCACCTTCCTCCTGACTGCGCTGGCAGGATCCGCTAAGTACCTCCTGCCTGCTGAGACACTGCCACAAACCAGGATCCATTCACTCGGACCGCTGTCTTACCATACAGTTCATCGCGAAGTGATTGTGCTGCGTCTGAAGCTCCATTGCATGAGGGTGGCTGGTCCCGATCTCCGTGTAGCTGTTTAGAAATAGGCCTTTGTTGTGTGTGATCCAGTCAAACATCTACCAGAAGGAAAAAACACCGCCTGGAATCATTCCAGAAGAGAAATGACCGCCATGGAGGCCCACGGATGGGGTCGCACCAAGAAAAGACGACCTTGCTCTGTCAACCTCTCAGCGGTACGGACTTCTAGAACAGGTCAGCAGCTCTGAACCTGCAGGACCTACAAGAACATCTTGTCTAAGGGGCTCCTCTTACAGATGAGGAAGTAAGAGGCAGGTAAATTCAGAGGGCTGTTTGAGCCCCCCCAGGCCAATTGAAAACTCTGCTCTTTTTTTAACCCAGTCTTCCTGTCATAAAGAACTGCTGAATTTGTCACACTGCTTCTCAGTTACAGACTTCAGTGACAACTTAGATGAAATTACAGGCTCGCAGGTCTTGGGTTTGCCGTTGGTATTGCCCACAGATACTGACAGTGATACCAGTTCAAGATTATGCTGCTGAATGCAAGAAGTTTACAGAAACCTTTGCAAATGCAAACAGCAAAAGTTACTGTGAGAATATAAAGGGCTAGGAAAAAATTTAACGATGACATGTGTCTTTTGTGTGTGTGTGTGTGGAGAGGTTTTTGCTATAGGGCGTGTGAGCTCACCAGATAGACAGAGACAGACATAGAGACAGAAAGCGAGAAATCACCCCCCAGGGGGGATGGCCACACCACAATCCCTTCTCCATTCTCCTCTTGGGACCTTGGGCACACACGCACACACGCCCAGCGTGAGTTTTAAGCCACTGGGTCTGGGATGCAACCCGTGGTGGACTACATGGGAGTCCAGTAACATAGCCATTACACTAACTGCTGGTCCCAGTGTCTTAAGGTTCAATATATATGCTACTTCGATAAGGATACCAATTAAGAGGTTTACAAGGAAGACATTTAAGAAAATAGAAATGACTATCAATCAGCCCTCTTCCAGACTAGAATCGTATCTGTGCTTCTAGTAACTGGAGAACAGTTTCCTAGTATCTTTGACAAGACACTAAAATCAGAAACATACTGGCAGGCATGTTAAGAGCTTACCGTATAATAGTACAGGATTATTATTGTTTGAAGGGCTCTTTTACACCAAATATTTTAAAGCAGTTTTTGACTTTATATTTCCCTGTCCATGTAAAAAATGATTCCATGATCTCGAATTCAAAACGACTGATTCACCTATGTTCAGGGCTTGCAATGCATTCCTATAAATAAATGGTGTTTTTCATGGCTAAGATTGAATTAGCTAGGAGTTGACAAAAAATTCACTTTGACTAGTTGGTTTGTCTTAAGCACAAGAATAAAGCAGGAGATTATAGATAATTATTGTCTATATTGTTCAGAAGTTACCACTTTTTTTGGGGAGAGAGGTTAAATTTTGGTACAGGATGAGTGTACTCCCCAAAGAGAGACAGAGAGAGGGACAGTGAGAAAGCACACCCTCACCCCAGGGAGAATGGCCATGCCACAGTCCCAGAATGCTTTTCAAGCCACCAGGCTTGGGACTGGAAATGCACATCTGGCCACGTGAGATCCAGCTGCCTTCACCACCACCCCCCGTGCTGGTCCCAGAAGCTATTATTCTGAATGCACTACTCACCTGTTAGTTTAAAACATACCCAGGGGGCCAGCAGCTGACGTGGTGGTTAAGGCGCTGGACACTCCCACATGGTCAACCACGGTTTGAATCCCAGACCTAGTGGCTTGCTTTCTTACTTTCCCTCTCTCTCTGTATCTCTCTCTGGTCAAATTAAAATAAATGAATGAATAAATAAAATAAAATAAAAAAGTGGCTTAAAAAAAAAAAAAAAACCCTGTAACAGAAATGGTGTTCAGTAGCTAGCTTTGGATAAGTGGAAGGGAAGGTGTTAACAAAACACATACATAACTACTGTCTTCAATAGCATAACCCTATAAAATGTTCACTCTTCTCACCTTTCTTATAGACCTCCTAGACCACACCATCAGAACTTTTAACTCCAAGTTTCTACACCAGCACTGTCCTCTACGAGTGACACGGGGAAACGGATGCAGGTGCTGTCTCTGACCCGATGCTGGCTAGCGTGTAACCAGCGCCCTGGGCTTGCTCTTCTCTCCCACCCGACCAGACCCAGTGACCCAGCAGCTCGCCTGCACGCCCTGTTGGGCACTGCTCCCCCTCTTTACCTTCTCGGCATCCTGTTCGAACAGCCTCAGCTGGAAGCACTGGTCCAGCTTCAGCTTCCTCACGTGCCACATCTGGTGCAGGTGCTGCCGCGTCGAGTGCAGCCGGTCCAGCATGGTGGACACCTTGGGCAGGAGGTTCTGCAGGTCCGCGTTGCCCGAGCCTGAGTTCTTCTTGGGAAAGCTATCGCTGCTCTGAATCCTCTGGAGCAGCTTCTGTCCCTCCAAATCCAAGTCCTCAATGGGGGCCTTAATCACCTTCTTCTTCAGCTGGGAATGCTCCTCGATCATATTCCGAGCCCCCTCTAAATCCTGAGGCAACTCCTTCTTGGCCAGGATGTCCTGGAGCTCCTCCAGCCGGGACAGCATGTGGGTTGCATTGCTGATGTAGTCTTCGAAGGCAACTCTGATTTCAATCCACTCTTCATGGTTATACTCCAGGCAGCCATCAAACTCAGGAGTTAGTTGAGAAGGATCAACTACTTTGGTAAGGCCTTCTAAAGAGACCATATTTGTCTTAAGGAAGAAAAAGAATTGTGTGTGAGACTTGCAACACTGAGTCACAGATTTTCCAAGTTTATCTATTTATAGCAAATACCTGGCTCTGGCCCCGTAAAAATAAATGTGGATGAAGTCAGTATTACCAGTATAATGAAAAATAAATCCATCAGAGCAACACATGTTAGATAAAATACTTAACATTACAGACCGTGTGTATTTCACAAGAGCTAAAGAACTGAGATCTTTCCAAGAATGTGGAGATCAGCCTACTCTGTCAGGCATATTAAACTAGGAGATATGTTAAATTACAAGTACAGAGCAGATAATTCAGAATTTTCATTTTCATCTATGCATTCTTCTATCCATTCCATTTTACCCACTTGTATCACTCCCTATGTAGAAAACTCTGCAAAGCTCCCTCCTCTCTGCTACCAACTAATGTCTTGCTCTTGGACTTCCAAACCAGTGTAAGTGCCACAGGGCACCTGAAAACCTGTATTACATACACGTGTTGAGAACCTGTATTAGGTACATGTGTTGAGTACATGTATTACATACATGTGTTCATAGGCTGCCTATTAAATGAAAAAAGCTGCTCCAACCACACCATCCTTACATTTATTATGTCCTATCCAACCTCGCATCAAGTGACAGAAGTTGGGCTAAAATGACTTTTTAAAAACTAAGAAAATACCCAAGGGTTATTAGCAAGAAAGCTGGTGGAAGACAGAGGGATGTTTCGCTCATTGTAATATCTATCTGCAACCCTTCAGACTGCATTCCCATTCAACAGCACAAAGTCCTAGTCACCTGCAGTCGACAGGAAGTCTTAGCCTCACCTATCAGAATGTGAACCAGATTCATATTAATATTATGCCTCAAGAAACACATGGGGGGAACAGCAGTTGGCATAATGGCTATGTTGCTGGGCTCCCAAGTAATTGACCGTGGTTCAAGTCCCGGACCCAGAGGCTTAAACTCATGCCGGGTGTGTGTGTGTGTGCATGCCCAAGATTCCAAGAGGAGAATGGAGGAGAAAGGATTGCGGCATGGCCATCCACCCTGGGGGGTGATTTCTTGCTCTCTGTCTCTCTGTTTCTCTCTTTCTGGTAAGCACACATGCCCTATAGCAAAAACGAAAGCACACATGCCCTATAGAAAAACCCCCCCCCCCCCCAAAAAAAAAAAAAACAAAAACAAGAAACACATGGGAGAAGGGTGATGAGTGCAAAGACAAAGGTTAAGAAATAAAAAGAGTTGTCGCCTAGAACTTATGGGCAGAGCAGAAAAGGAAGGGTGACCCATCTGGTCACCTCTGGCCTGAAAGAAACTAGAACTGGCATCTCTGTGCAGGTTAGACTGGGTAGTGTAAGAAACAGCGAAAGGAAGAGGCATTAGAAAGGGGCTCGGGGGCAGCAGGCGCTGTGGTGGTTAAAGTGCTGGACCCCACATGGTTGACTCCATGGTCTGAGTCACAGACCAGGTGGCTTGATAAACACAGCAGGTGCAGATGTGTGTGTGCCCCAAATCCTAAGAGGAGTATGGAGGAGAAAGGATTACATGTGGCCACCTCCCTCTCACTTTCCCTCCCTCCCTCGGTCTCTCTCCAATGAGCACATGTGCCCCGTGACAAAAATTTTAAAAAATTAAAAAAAAAAAAAAAAAGAAAGAAAGAAAAGGAGGAACTTGCTCCAAAGCCTGTCTTCCGTCTACAAAGTTACTGTAGCCAATTCCTGTCTCATGTGCTGACTTTGATGACCTCCAAGAGGCAGCATTCAGAAAGGGGCCAGGAAACTGTGAGGCAAGCCCAATGGTTTTTCCAATGCAGGGATTTTAAGGGCCCTGAGGGAGAGGGCATAATTAGACCAGTAAAAACGTTCATGAATTATACTGCCAAACCATTGCTTTCACTTAAAACATGTATACTTAAATGCAATACACTGTAAATTCTGTATCAAGAAAACATTGGGTCGTCAGGAAAGTCATGGTGCATTTTTACAAAGAAAAATATGTCATGACTTTCCCGATGACCTAATAACTAAGACCCAATAAATCGTCCCCCAATCACTTCTTACAGGGTGTGACGACAGAGGGTTGCTGCTTTCTTCCTTGCATTAAACCTCCGGTGTACAAGTGGTGTGGTGGTTAAGGTGCTGGAATTCCCACATGGCCGACCATGGTTCCAGTCCCGGATCTAGAGGCTTCTCTCTCTCTCCCTCTTCCTCTCTCTCTTTCTCTCTCTCTCTCTGGCAAAACTCATGTGATAATAATAATAATAAATCAAGTTAAATAAATTAAAAAAAAAAAACTAAAGATTCAGATTCCAGACAGGAAAATCAGTACTATGGAAAGGAATTTTAAAATCTAAGCAATATAAATTTGAACATACTCTGAAAAATATAGCATATGACCTAGAGAATAAGTATTAATACTGTCTGATGTGCTTCAGATTATTGCTGTTTACCTTAAAACACACGGATACATGCACTAAAACTTAGGTTTGGGCAGAGCTGCCAGAAGCAGCAATCTGTTTGACCCCAAGTTAACATGGTTCATTATTAGGAATTAGAGCAGAGCGCGAGTGAGGCTTCAGGCTGGCAGGAGCACTCTCTTCTCATCACCATCCCATTAAGCGAACTCTGACAAAAGCCTTGTCAGAGCCTCGGGAGCTTAAGAAGCAGGGTGATGGTGGAAACGAAACAAAGTTCTCGGGCCGAACATGACTGGTTTTTTGTTTTGTTCTTTGGTAGAGGTTCTTGTCTTAGGGCGTGTGCACTCTAAGGAGAGAGAGAGAGAACAGAGAGAATGATGGGAGGGAAAGTGAGAAATCACCCCGCCCAAGGGGAATGACCATGGCACAAACCTTTCTCCTCCACTCTCCTCTCAGGATCTTGGGCACGCACGCACATGTGCCTGGTGTGAGCTTCAAGCCATGGAGTCCAGGACTTGAACCACAGTCAACAGTGTGGGAGTCCAGCAACCTAACTGCTACATCATCTACTGGACCCACACTGAGATTTGTTTTTTTAAGATCACGCAAAAAAACAAAAACAAAAACAAAAACAAAAACAAACAATGATCTTTGGTGCCTGAGCTCAGGGCTCTGAACAGTTCTTAGAGTAGCACTCCACTGTCATAAATGAAAGGCCTGGTACATGGAATAAGTGTGGGCCATTCTTTCCATTATGAAGGATGGGGTGATGCCCAGTCCCCTCCGTATTTCTCCCCCTGGAAGTCTGAGTTGGGCATCGCTCCCTCAGACCTCCTCACCTCCACGGATGAGGCATGACGATGACCTACAGCCACGTCGTGCTGCAGAGCTGCCTGGGAAAAGTGCTCCTTCATGTGAAGTCCGAGGACCGGGCTTCTCTAAGGTCACGGTCCACCTCAGCAGCCCCTCACCTCGACCCAGAGGTGAAAGCTAAATCCTCCTTGGCCACTCGGGTAACACACACTGCTTTGTCATTTTATGCAATAACAAACTTAGGTATTATGTGCACGTAAGATATGCAGTTACGGAACGAGTGGCTTGAACATCTATCATCTATCATTGGTGAGACTAAGTCAGCTCTTTTCCAATGATCCACACCACGCCTGCCATTCAGGGGACCCGCTACCAGGGGAAGTTACCTCAAATTCAAACTTAGAACTGCCGAAGTTCGTCCTCTGTTTCTGCCAGAAGTTGTCCGGCTTGATGATCAGGGCGACGTGGATGCAGCAGGGGAAGGACTCCTGCAGGATCTTCAGGAGGGGCTTGATGGAGTCCCACTTGGAGCCGCGCATGTCCACGATCACCGTGAAGCCTCGCTTGCAGACCTCCTCGCTGCGGGGAAGCACACGGGCACAAATCACGGCTGGCAGCCAGGGCACTCCGGCCCGAGACCCACTGGGAGTCCCAGACCTCGCCCAACACCCTGCCTGCGGTGCCTGGGAGCAGAGGGTGGGCGCATGGGCTGGCACCCAGCACCAGAGAGCGGCAGTCCCACCCACAGAGCTCCACTGTTTCCCCACCAGAAACACAGAACATGCGCGGAAAAAGAATGGTGTACTGAAACAGGGTCCAGCTTCCAGACCTCCCACAATTTTAAGTCTGCATTCATGGTTTCGCACCCTGTCCTCTCTGCAGGAGGAAGAAGACGACCCTTGTACCCATCTCTCTGGTCTCTGCTGTACTAACTGATCGCAGGCACTCATGCAGCAACTCCGATGGGCAAAGATCCCAGGGAGCAGTAACAGGTACAGACCCCTGGCACACACAGTGGAGTGCAGACAGGGTTGAGTTCCACAAACGGCAGTTACCCCACGATTCCTGGAACCACAGGTGCCGAAAACAAGCGCCAGCAGCGTGGCTGGCAAGGGGGAGGGCTTTCCAGGGCTCATTTTGTTCCTGTTACCTGTCGTCTTGCTCTCTCAGCAGTTCCCGCCTGTCCCTGGGTGTTCGCGGCACCCCAGGTGGGCTCTGTTTCTGTGCCCCTACTTTCCTAGCAGTACAAAGACACGGCTGGCATCTGCACTCTGCTGCACTGCCGCCACCCGCCACCACATGTGGTGTCCCATATGAGCAACCGCGGAAAGGCTGCTGGCCCTTGTGCAAATCAAGGCAGTGCTGGGAAGCCGCAGTCTTCCTGTCTCCTTGCTCTTACAGTTAAAAAAAAAAAAGCCAGCTTCTAGTGTTACTAGATCTCAGCCCCTAACTACATGGGAAATACATATAATGCACGTCCCCAATAAAGAACTGATGCGTGCAGGTGTCCTTAAACACAGGTCACGAACATCACCTCGCTCGGCTGTAACTTTGGAGTTACGGCTGGAAGCTTCTGTGGCAGCTAAGGACAGCTGTCATCCTCACGATTACGTGCTGGCCTGTCCCGGTCGCAGGCCAGTGAAGGCTGCTGACACAGCGCCAGATGCTAGTAACCAGGTAGTGGCTACCCGGAAGGTTTCTGGGTTACACACAGGCCCTCAGGAGGCCCGGGTGAAGAAGACGTCGGAGCTCAAGGTGACTCAATGCAAGGGTGATGAAGATGTTTGACAGTTTTCTGCCTCAGGTAGTGCCCTGAAAACCTAGTCTAAGCGGACAATGTGGAAGACACACAGCTATCACTAAGTGGTGTTAGAAAGCAAAACAAAACCAAAAGAAGTCACAATTAAAACCAACTGCATGCTCTCTTTCTCACAGCCTCTCCCCTCCCCACCCTCCTCTCCGCCTCCCCTGTCCCCCCATTCACTTACTCCCCACTAGCTTCTTTATCCAGATTTGTACCATCACAGGGAGTGACTGGGTCCAAGTTTCGTAGCTGCAGGACGTCTGTGGTCTCGAACCTTCTCCAGACGCCTGTGCTGCAGAACCTGGTGGAACCCACTGGACGGCTCAGTCACAGGGTACTGAAACCGCGAAGGGAAAACGGGCTGGCCCCCAGGCTGGCAATCACGCACTGTCAATGCCTGCGTAGGAGTGACCGTCAGCTACCCCACTCAAATGTGAGCTGGACTAGATCTGACCCTGGCTCGCACACTCCTGTGGCCATCACCTCCCCTCCATCCTAAGCAGGTCTGGGGCCGCAGTGGACATCACGGGCAGCAGTGCCACTGTTTTCTGGTCTTAGCAAAACCTAGAGGCAAACAGGACTCCTAGGAACATCCCCGAAAGTCTCCCAGATCACAGATTCAGCATTCTGGATCTCCTTAGGCTCTAGTGGGGTTCGTAATCCTGCACGATTCCATTCCACAGGACCACAAGGCACAGAGGTGCTGGGGCCAGTACAGAGGATGCTGGCTGCCCTGCGGGGGGCACTCTACCCCACACCATGTGTTCTGCCCACGTCAGACAGCAGAGCGTGGGCACCACAGCAACGCTCCACTTGTTTCACTGGCTGCTGTCCAGCAGACTGCACTTGGAGCATCTTCACCCCGGCGCTATAAATGCCCTGGTGGCCTTTCCCTATCTGGCCTTCTGCAGAACTCTCATCAACTGCAAAGCCCCTCTGCTTCAAAGTGGCTTAACAGCAAACCGGAATTACTCCAGGCTTCACAACAGGAACAGTCAGAAAACACAAAACCAAAGGTTCTCTGCACTTGCGGAGTTTACAGCAGGCTCAACTCTTCACCTTCCTCCAGGGGCAAACTGTTACCACCCAGTGGCTTCGCATGAACTGGGAGCACACAGCCTTTCAAGCTGCCTTCTTTCACAAAGCTGCAGCCCGTCATGGCTCACAGCCGTGGTCTGCAAACCTCCCCGTCAGCCCCCGTTTATGAGCACCTAGTGAGCATTACAGCTGTCCTCCGAAGGGCTCGGCCCTCCCTCCACCTTGAAGACACTGCTCTTAGGGATCTCCGACCTATTAACCAGGACTCCTGCGGTCTGAGATATAGAACATTTACATAGAATTAAGATGCCCTCTCGACGCTGATTCTCTAAACGGAGAAACTCTTTAGTTCCTAGACGAAGAAAATATCTATTTATTTATTTTTTAGGTTTTTACCACAGGACACGTGCCCACATAGAAGACAGACAAACAGAGACAGGGAAAGTGAGAAAGCTCCCCTGGGAGTGGCCATGCTGCAATCCCTTCTCTTCCATTCTCCTCTCAGGATTTTGGGCACGCACGCACACACGCCTGGCATATCTCTCAAGCCGCACAATCCAGGATCTGAACTGTGGTGTCGGCCGTGTGGGATCCAGTGCCTTAACCAATATCCTGCAAGTATCTTTTTATACAAAGAAATGAACCACATAATTTCTTAAGCGACTACCAAGAGCATGACAGTAAGACTGACTGATCCAAAGAGCATGATAGTAAGACTGATTTAACTACCGTAAGTCATGCTAACCAAGGCCAAGTTCTAGAACACAATTGAATGAAATATTATTCAAGCAATGAGGAGAACAAGACTCATGTGATGAGGGTACTTCAGTGTGTGGAAAAGTGAAATTCCAGCACAAGTTTATTCTGGTGCAAGAAAAATTTGTATCTTTGCACAGTGTTCTCATAACACACGTTTTCGACTTCTTGAAGACCCCTCATGTTTTCGTCACTGTGCAGGAATTCCTGACAGCAGCGAAGACTACACTGTCTCTTGTTTCTCCAGCACACAGTTCATGCCGTTTCCCTGCAGTGTAACCCTATGAGCTCACCCTATCCCTCCAGCTCTAGTGGGGTGGGGAGGAAGGGGCCCAAGTAACGATACTCAATCCATTCAGGCTCGACTGTGACGACCATGGACAATCTGGATGCATGCAGGAGGAAACCAACGAGATGACCTGCCTCGACGCAACATGGCAGAAGAAAACAAGGAATGTGAAAGGACGACCGGGCCACGTCGGAGGCAGTGGCTGCGTCACTGCTGCGCTGGACGTGCAGCAACGAGGCGGCTCAGGACTTAGGAGGATGCCAGGACGTCCGGGTTATTATTGCAACTCACAGAGCAGAAAACCAAGGGCAGAAGTGCAGTCAGTCACCCCCGGTCAGTCAGAGTCAGAGGCCCAGGCTTTTCTGGACACGGGCCCCTCTGCACACAGTACACTGGGGTGGTGTGCAAAGGGACGGCCCGAGGGCCACCTTCCCATCTCAGAAGGATGGGAGAAGGGACAGAGAAAGGGTCTCACAGACCCCCAGCGTAGGCACACGATGTAAAGCTGGGTAGAAACCCCAGTGTTGACCCCACCCTAAAACTACCACAGCAAGTAACCAGGCTTACAAATCACACACAGGCCTACTCACAGGTCTAAGAGACCTCACTTGCCGGGTGATGTTCACTGATTCTTTTGTTGGGGAGCGCAGTGGCCAGCAGGACACGGGTATCCACAGGACCCAGCCCACCATGGCTCTGTCTGGGACACATGAGGCCCTTCTCCTTTACCCCATGGCAGCGGCATCGCTTCACGCTCACTCCACCTCCCTAAAAAGCTCGGTAACCACAGCAGCAGCTCTCACTGGGGACTGTGGATGCGGAGGTCACCTGGGCGCGGGCAGTGACTGGAGTGGCAGCTCCGTAGCAGGAGGGTACTCTACACACTGTCATTACGGGCACAACCATACACCTTGAGGATTTGTTGTAAAATACTCAGGAGAATTAGAGAAAGTTGAGGTGGGCAAAACTGGAAAACGCTACAGCTGTAACATGGAGCGCGTGCTCCGTGAGTGAGCCTGTGTGTGTGCTCCCTATTTTCCACAAAAAGTTCCCTGGTTTTTGTTTACTTTTATGTAGGCTCATTCAGGTGTTCCAGAGTGTATCTGAATCAAGTTTTTAAAGAAATTATTCCCAGAGAAAAACAGAGAGGGACATGTCCTGTCCCTTTTTTTCCATTCCTCCATCCTGCCAGGATCTTGGGCACGCTTGCACATGCGCCGGGCGTGTTTTTCAAGTTGGGACTTGAACTGTGCAGGCAGCCATGGGGAATCTGGCTCTCTTAACCACCAGGCCAAGGGCTGATACTGAATCAATTTTTTTTAATGTTAAAATAGAAAGTAAGTTTAAATTTACCATCAACACAGATTTCAAAACCAGAAAGCAAAGTTATATATGGTATTCCGATTACGTAACTAAAAAAAAAAATCCCCTTAATAAAACCCAAACTTTATGGTATTTTTGGTTTGCATTTTTTTTAGGCAGGGTATGTTTTGATCTTACTGCCTTGGCCTCCCCTGCTGCTGGGGCTGTGAGCATAGCTTTCAGGGCGGGGCTGGGAATCGAACCAGGCTCCCATGTGGCTTCAGCCTGCTGAGCAGTGTGTTAACCAGGATGCACTACCACAGCGGGGCCATCACTCTCAGTTTTGTGTTAAACTATGTAGCATGCGTCATGCGGGTTGGCAGGGACTTCTTAGGTCTACACTGCCCGTTGTCTTTCTCTGCTTTTCCATC